AGTCACTTTAGCAGCTAGCATGAAACGTGGAGGAGAATGTGAAAAGGAGACCTAGTCCACCCGTACCCTCCTTTCTACCGGCGGGCGTGGTCTTTTGGCCGTGCTGGACAGACAATGGAGATATGGCCCTTGCGGCCACAGTAAAAGCACTCACCGGCCCTCCATCGGCGGGCTCGTTCCTTCGGGGAGATTTGGGAGCGTCCGATCTGCATTGGTTGCTCATGCTCATCGCCGCGATCCACATCCCGATCGCTAGTTCCGCTTCCGCCAGAAGCTGTCTCCGCTCGCCCCACGGGCCTCTGGGAACTGTAGTTGCCGGCGCGGCGATGCGCCCTCATATGTTCATCTACGTTCACACATAAGGTTATCACCTCCGACAGGGTTTTGGCCAATTCTCTCATTAGTAATTCACCCTTGAGTTCATCACAAACATTGTTTAATAAAGTTCTTATCAATGTGGGCTGCCCCCATCCAGTCTCCTCAGCCAGTGTCCAAAACTCCTCAGAAGAGTCCGCCATACACCGTCTTCCTTGTTTTAAGTTCAGCAAACGGTGACATGCCGCTTCTGCTCCGGTGCCACTTTCAAACACACTTTTAAACTTTGAGAGAAATTCAGCATAAGCAATCTCCGGGTCGGTTTGTAGCACTGCTTGAGCCCAGTTTAAGGCTTGACTGCGGAGTAACTGAACAAAAAAGGCAATTTTTGCTCCATCACTTTCATAAGTCTGCCGCAGCTGCCGCAGCTGCCTAAACTGCAACGTAATCTGTGTTGGGAAACCAGCACACTCCACCGTTGCTCGACACTGCGTGTATAGACCAGGTAGTGCAACATTTGAAAAATATTTGCAGGACGGCACTGTGTAGCGTTTTCCTAAATCCCTCATTTTGCACAGTGTTGATGGGAGCCATATCTTTAGCCAGGTGATAAGTGATAGCTTCCGTAATTTCATTGTGCCTGTGGGAGTTCAACGGGTATGGGGAAGCGCTGTATAAGATTCCCAATATTGATGTTTGGGTGGTTGACCGGGACAGATTTTCTCCTTACTTTCTTGGCCTTTACAGCTTTGTCATATTGCACTGTGCGGGGTGATCGTGGCTCAAAAGTTGGGAGTTCGACTTGTAATCGGAAGGTTGCCGGTTCGAGCCCCGGCTCGGACAGTCTCGGTCGTTGTGTCCTTGGGCAAGACACTTCACCTACCGCCTACTGGTGTTGGCCAGAAGGGCCGATGGCGCGATATGGCAGCCTCGCTTCTGTCAGTCTGCCCCAGGGCAGCTGTGGCTACAACTGTAGCTGCCTCCACCAGTGTGTGAATGTGAGAGTGAATGGGTGGATGACTGGACGTGTAAAGCGCTTTGGGGTCCCTAGGCGGGACTAGTAAAAGCGCTATACAAATACAGGCCATTTACCATTTATGGTGACGTTTAAGGTGGTTATACAAATTCGTAGTGTTAGCTTGTGGTGCTGCTACTATGGCAAAACACAGCTTGCAAATGATATCTTTTTGACTCTCATCGTCTTTTATAAAACCAAAAAACTTCCACATGGAGGAATGAGAACCTTTTCTTGGAATTAATTTTACAGTGGGGTTGTCATTCTCACTGCCGCCAGTGAGCTTTTCCTCTGCTGTCACTGTGTTTTCTCCCCTCAGGCAGTTTCTCTCACGTGCTCTCCGTTGTTTTTTCCCTGCCAGCTGGCTTCTGTATCACGTGGTATAAGGCTCCGCCCTTGTCATTTGTTGAGCAGGAAGAGTGAGCGCTTGTTTTCTTGCAGACTATGTGCCGGATCAAAATGCTGTACAATCGTCACCTTTTTTTTTTTTTTTTTAAATTGTTGTCGTTTAGAAATGAGATTGCACATAAGTATGAATTGAGATTGCGATTTTCTAATGATTAATTGTGCAGCCCTACAATACTGTTCAACTGATGCAACATTTGTATGCAGACAGAGGGGGTTGTAAGTAATCCAGAAAAGTTGGAACACCTTTTCTGTAGAAATTATTAGCGCCAGCATTCACAGCTTGATCAACCTCCATTGCTGCAGAACAGCTTTAAATTGTTAACCCAATTTGTGTTGTGTTAGAAAAAAAAAGCGTTTTTGTATCATTTGAAATGTACATTATTTTTCAGTTTTGGGTGAGCTTACCTTTTCTTTTTTTTTTTTTTTTGACCTCTGGCAGTTCACCACTTACCTTTGTCAACCTATTCAAGGGACTTGGAAAAATTGGGATGTTCTAAAACTTTTGACCGGTAGGCTCCTACTTCTTCACCGGGAACACGAGTTACAAATTCTTTTCATTGAGGTCTGGTTACAGATACAAAGCAAACGTAAAACTTTCACACATTTTGGTTTACAAGGTTACAAAACTCAGTTCACAACTACGCATTTGATTTACAAGTATAAAATATTTATGACCACAATTTGAGCCCATAGAAACCTGTCAATACTAACAGATGAACAAACATATAGGTTGGTGTTAGTATTTTTAGAAGATTGCTTGAAATGAAGAAAAATACACACAGAGCAGACATAAAAACATACATAAATCAGTCTTATTCCATAAGTACAATCACAGAGTGGTATTTACAGTTCTAGTCTTTGTTTCTATGTGTTTATGTGTTCAGGCCAATGATGCCTCAGGGAACATGTGGAACTGGCTGTACTTCATCCCTCTCATCATCATCGGCTCTTTCTTCATGCTCAACCTGGTGCTAGGTGTGCTGTCAGGGTGAGTACAAACTGTGAGGATGGTCTGAGATAAGAATTCCTAAAACTATTCCTTATATTTGAACCCAGATTTATCTTACCAATTCGCTGCACCTTGTTGGCTTACCAAAGATAAGATAAAATGGGGAAACAGAAATCTGTACTGGTTCATTGCTGCAAGTAGTTAAATATTCTTTGAGTCATACCATGTTGAGACAGGGCATGTTCTCACAAAGGATTTGTGTCTACCTGTGTGTTTAAACATACAAATTCTACATTTCAGTTGAGAATTTTTCAAGGCTGTAGACTATAACAAAGACATAACCACAGTGGAATTACCAATTCAATTCATTTTCAAATCAATTCAATAAAACTTTATTGATCCTGAAGGTCACCCCGAAGGAAATTGGGTTAAGGCTGCCCGACCTTTGCCAGAGCCATCTTTGTCAATGTCATTTTTAACTTAATTTCTGAAGCTCTTTTCAGTAACACAGCTTTAAAACATAATTGAATATGAGCATTAACACTAAAGATGCCTAGCTGAACTAGAATAGAACTATGCTTTCAGATAATTTAAAAATTCATCAGTAAATTTGTTGATTGTATTAAAGAGCCAGTGCAGAAATCTTGTGCGTCACATTTGAATGCAGGTCTGACAGTACCCCTTGCACTCTCTTCACATATCTTGCAAATTCAGAAGGATGGACCCACAGAGTTGCATTCATGTTAATTCCCCAACTAAATGTTAAGGTGATTTTTTTAAGACATAGCACTGTGGATTGACTCTGTCCTTACTCTTAATGTAAACATTTCCCTCCTAATATCAAATCTACCTCACAGTTTCTTTTTGAAAACAAGACAGACTGTCCCTCAAAGACCCTAGTAATTTGTTGTTGTTGCAAAGTAATTGGCAGAATATTTTCTTACTCAACATTAATTCGTGTATATATTTGAATGCTATAATGTGTTGACTTCTTTTTTTTTTACCTAAGTTGGACAGCAAGTCAGCATGCCAGAGTCATTCATTTGTTTGATTCACAATGGAGATGTTTTTTTAATGTCTTTTTCTAGTTTTGTGTTTTTATTCTTGCTGTTTTGTAAGTTCTGAAAGTAGGCAGGTTGAGGTATATCCGCAATGTGACTGAAACAGCCTAAAGCCATTTACACCATTTTTGTTTTTTAACCTGATCAAAGAAACATGTTTCAGTGGCTCATTTCCTTTCATTTCCACTCCTACAGTGTGGTTTCTAGTCACAAACAAGCAAGTTTAATTATCTCTCAAGGTAGAAAACTTCGGGGGGGCACAGACAAAAAACCCCAAAACAAACAAATCTTAAATATAGCCTCTTACCTGCATTTCTAGTCTAAACAGAAGAAAAGTTATTAAAAGAAAAAGACTTCCACCTGTACAAATACCAGGTCTGTTCTTTTAAAGGAAGATAGTAATTAAAATAATTAACTAGCTCTTCTACATGCTGAACACTTTATTACACAACAACAACAAGCATGGTCCAGTTTGTTTGTTTGTTTGTTTGTTTGTTAATTTATTTCAAACATGTAAACGATATACAGGTACATTTAGTAAAGAAAATAAGAGAGAGAAAAAATATACAAAAGTCAATACATTTCAGCCTGTCCAGTTGGAACCAGGATGTAAGCGGTGGCTCAGTCAGCCCCGACGCATTCAATCTCCAGCCAATGGCCAGCTACCTGGAGCTTACAAAGAAATAAAAACAAAGGAAAATGAACAGAACCCCGTCCAGGTACTGTGATCACTGGCAAAATTTGCTTGCCAATTCCTATCCTGTTTATTTACAGCAGCTGTAGTTGTATTAGTATAGTAGTATTAGTAGCATATTTGTACATTATATCACTAAAAACAATTTTGTGATGTAAGCTAAGTAATACAAGTGTTTCTTGCCGTGGCATACACTTTAAAATGGTAAGAACTTTGATGGAGATTACAATCACTTTGTTAGGTGCACATTGTTGTAAGGACAGTGCTTCACCAAAAAAACAAAAAGGCTGTATGAGAAGAGTGTTTTTAGACTTTTTTCCATTTAATTTCATTGTCTCTTGTTAATATCCGTTTATATTTTCCTAACATTTATACTTATCCTGTACATCGGTACTGTATAAGCGGAGATAAAGGCTTGACAAAAGCTTCCAGGGACACATAGCTCCTCTTTATGATTATGGTGTCTGTTTCCTGCCATAGAAACTGTCACATGGCTTTATAGTTACTTGTAACATGGAAGGTGACGAATGCAATCTGACATCGCCGTGCGGGGTTGTCATTGTTTAAAGAGCACAATCTGAGCCTCAGAGAATGCAGGAGACCCCCAGTGGAAGTCAGATCAATTCATTCAGTATGGGCAAGCTGGGATGAGCTATGACTGCAGTCAGAGTTGAAGCTACAACTATCTATTTTAGAAACTCTTTCATATCTCTTTTAGAATCTCTTTCATATCTCCATTTTGTCTAACTTATACTTGTGGTATGACCAAGCTGACAGTATCTCTTTTCCAAATAAAAAAAAAAGGAAAATTAGCTCCAACGGGATAGTTGGTTCTTTTTCCAAATTTTAAATAACCAGAATATCTCCACACTGCCAAATTCCTTGGAATCATCTTTTCAACAATGTCCTCATCATGTAATCATCAGGCCAGGGAGTGCTGTTTTAATGGTGACTTGTGTGACAAAGGAATCTGCTGTGATGCGAATAATGTTAATATCTGCACTCTCTTACCTGTCTGTGAAAGTTGGTTTTGGCCATAAAGCTGCTCCAGCAGGTGGACAGGTGGTTCACAGGGGGCAATGTAGCCCTAAAATATGTATGTATTTTAGGAAGGTGTGAAAAAATACTGTAAACAAAGAATACTTTCAAAAAATGAAAGTGGTAATCATTTGTTTTTGTCAATCAAAAACTGCAGTGAATGAACAAAAGCAAAATGTAAATCAAATTAATATTTTGTGTGACCACCCTTTACCTTCAAAACAGCATCAGTTCTTCTAGGTACACTTCTACACAGTTTTTGAAGGAACTCAGCTGGTATGTTGTTCCAGACATCTTGGAGAACTAACCACAGATCTCTTGTGGATGTAGGTTTCCTCACATCCTTCTTTCTCTTCATATAATCCCAGACCCAGTCGATGATGTTGAGCTTGGGTCTCTGTTGGGGCCATACAATCACTTCCAGTACTTCTAGTTCTTCTTTACACTGAAGATAGTTCTTAATGACTTTGGCTGTATGTTTGGGGTCACTGTCCTGCTGCGAAATACATTTGGGGCCAGGAAACAATCATTTATATTTCTGAAAGTATTATAGTGATTATACTGTAAAACAAATATTTTGTTTTGTTTTGTCTTGTTTTGTTTTTTTTAATGGAAGAACTGTGACTCGCTGACTCAGAGACTTATTCCCGTGAACAAAGCAAGACAATCAGAGATTGATGCAATTCAACTTGCAAGGGGAGCCGGTCGGATCAGGCTTTCGGTGCCGAAAGCGTCTCATCTGATCCCAGCCAACCCCAAAGTGTGTGTGTGTGTGTGTGTGTGTGACTTCCTACTGATCACAAACGGGTCATCTCCCCTTACCCCTGTATATGGCTCAACTCCTTTAACGATCCATCATATACAAGCATAGGCTATAAAGGGCAGGAAGTAAACATCCCTTACCAAATATGGAAACCAGAACCTTACATAGAATGTGCTTGCAGTTAAACAATATAACCTCCCCCACCATCCAACAGGCAGGGACACATGGAAACAAAAGAATGTCTTTGATCATGCAGTTTAAAACAAGGTCCACAGCTTTAAGTACAACAAAGACAACTTTTATCACAATCACCCTAACACTTTTCACTCAAAACCAAACTCTGCACCAGTGAAGCCCTTTATGAAAAAAAAAATATTTGAAAGTGCAAAACTTAAAACAAGAACTGGAAAAGACCAAAACTTCCTACCTGGAAATCGTAGTGAAGAAAAGCCAGGAGAACTCAGACTCAGAGAAAAACAGACTCCAACAAACAAACGAAGAGAAAATGGTACTGCAAGGTTCTGCAAGAGACAGGGAAAACAAAAAAAGAAAAAGAGTCCAATGTTACTGTAACAAACCCACAGCAGACCCCGGTGCACGTTCATGCTTTGCAGCATACTTTATTAATACTTTGACGGTTGCTGTACATCCACACCCAGAGCTGCAGCTCTCCTGCTGCCAGCTCAACATAACACACAACCAACAACCCCAAACACAGGACCCAGTACAATATTTAAGTCGGCAAGGCATGATTGCGGATGCCATGCAGGGAAGGCGGACGCACCTGGTACCTGCAGAGGGTCGGGCAAGTCCTGAGGAGTCAGCTGAATGGTAAGAATTAGAGATGGCACGATACCACTTTTTTTTGTCCAATACCGATATCATAAATTTGGATATCTGCCGATACCGATATGACTCCCATATAGTGTATTTTTTAATCAATAAAACTGTTTTTTAATATCTTGCTGCATTTTGTATAAGTTCATACTCAAGTTTTAAAAAACAAAACACTAAAGCTATTCTCTTATACCTGTATGCAAAAAATACACTGCACCCAAACTATTTCATAGTTCAGCAATACTGATCAATTTAATAAACTCAAACCTACACCATCCTCCCTATTCTGGTATTTTAAAGAGTACTAAGCAGAAATATTAAACAGCTTAACTAATAGGATTTCCCACTCCCAGCAAAAAAAAAAAAAAATAGAGAACCACCCTCCGCCTTGTGATGCTTAATTGACGTAATTTTAAACTTTAATGCACGTGTTAAAAAAAAAAATGCATGGAAATTAATTGTATTTCTACAATAATTAAATAGATTCAACATCTTTCTTCAAATGAATTGCAGACTGCACAGATGATACCTTCCCAAAGGAAAAAGTTCTATAGCTTAATAGGGTATATATTAGACTTAATAGTTACTATATACAGTATGGACCATACATTTTACATCAGATTAAAACTTTGGGTGCAAGATTCGG